ACCCACGCGGCAAAATCAACTGGCTCGACCGGATATTGCGCCTGGATGGCGGGGATCAGCGATGACCATGGCGCTGCCTCCGGGTTGGTGAGGTGAAACACGGCCCAGGGCTGCTCGGACGATTGATGACGTGTGTTGACGATCTCCACCATAATCGCGGATAGGGTATCCTATTTCAAGAGTGATCAGCTTGAGTTCTTCTCTGTCAGGGCATTTCGGCTCCTTCGGCTTGTTTGGGGTTTAGACAAATCTTACCACCGGTACCCAATCAACTGGCATTGATCCTAAGCGGTTTGGGATTTTACCCATCGCTTTTGACGTCGCGATGATCGTTGGCAGCCATTCATGCGGATTCCATTGTCCGCTTCGGGTGGTTGGTCCTGCGATCTGTCCAACCCGATACACCGTCGTAGGGACACCTGATCGGCGTGATGCTTCGAGACAGATGCGCTCCGCGACGTGCTTGGACTCGCCGTAACCCTGGGGGAGAACGACGTTGCTTTCCATGGGCTCTTCGGGAATCGATGGTCCCATCTCGGGTGTCCAGTTACCAACCGTACTTATAGAAGAGACGAAGTGAAGGTGGGCATTGTGGCGACTGCTTAGGCTGAAGTCGACGAACCGTCGCACACCTTGGATGTGAGTGTCTTCGAAGGAATCAACGGTGTAGTTAAAGTCGACTTTCCACGCGTTGTGGATGATGGTGTCGACTGAGTCGAGGAGTGCTTGGTATTTGACCTCATCTAGGCCAAAGCGTTCTGCTCCGAATGATACTTGCAGGAACTCGACCTTGTTCCAGTTGTCCAAGGGTAGGCGCTTCTCTTCGAAGCCCTTCCGCTGTCGTGATTCGGCATCTGAGCGATTGAGACAGTAGACCTTGGAAATAGACTCGCTGCTCAATAGACAATGAAGTAGATAGTTTCCCAGTGAGCCAGTGGAGCCAGTCAAAATCACAGTGGTGGGCGATTGCAATTCATTGTGACGGACTTTCTGGACTGGGAGGTCGGACGTATACTTTGCCACCAAGTTATGAATCTTCTCTTCGCGTGGGATTTCAGCGTGGGATTTGCCTTCCAGCATGGCCACCACGACTCTAGACAATTGATCAATTGTTGCGTTGGCATAGATGGTCTGAGCAGTGATGACTGCTTTCAATTCTGGGCGCAAGTCAATGGCCTTCTGCAGCATTCGAGAGACCTGGATGGTCATTAAAGAATCAAGGCCAGCACCGAAAAAGTTCTGAGTACTGAGTATCTCCTTCTCCAAAACACACGCAATGGTCTGCTGAATATACTTCGTGACACTTTCTGTGTCTAAATTTTCCGGAAGATCTTGGACAAACTCATCGTCCAAGCTCTGAGCATACATCGCATCAATCTCCTCTTCAAAGTCCCGAAGAACAGCCCGACGCTGCACAGTACCCTTCGGCGTCTTCTTGAAGGGCTTCGTCTTGGAAGCAATCCCGATTCTGTTCTTCATGACCCGCCCATGGGCAGCAATGTTTTGATTAGCCACATGCACCGTGGGCCAGATCTGCTCGATAAAGAGCTTGTTTTCCATGTCTGGCACATCATGGTTCAGCTCAATGAGCAACCCAGCCTGGAATCGGGATTGACCGACCACCACCGCAGACCCAACTAACGGATGACCCTCAATGATAGTCTCCATTCCAACGGGGTTGAACTTCTCTCCGTTGCTCAACACAATCACATCATCCTTTCGCCCGTGGAACTTCCAGAGACGCGGGTTTGTCGGGTGTCGGGTGTACAGATCGTTGGTATGATAGGAACAGATGTCGGGGTAGGTATGGAAGATGCCCTTGAAGTCGCGAGCATCCGGCTGTCGAGGAATGACCATCTCAAACATTCCCTCGCCGATATCTTGCATGTCGACACCGTATGCTTCGTTCCATTCAAAGTAGCCCCAATCAGCTGGGTCTTCTGGTACCATCGACGCGATCCAGCCAATCTCGCTGGTCCCGATCACGGACACAACTCTAGTGCACTGGCGGAGCCGGTCTCCGACGTCTGGTGCAAGTGGTGCGCCTCCAAAAAGAACGAATTTGAGATTTTTCAGACAGGCCTGTGCGTTGTCAGAATAGCTCATATCCTCTAAAACGGAAGGTGGACACATTGCTGCTGTTGGACGGCCGACTCGCATGAGCTCTACCATATGCTCGACGGAGAGTGGCTTCTCTGGGCCGATCAGGACAGGAACATCAAACCAGACGGCGAAAATCAAGGCCATAAGTCCCATTAGGTGGAATAGGGGTGTCGTGCTTAGCATTAGGTCCTCTTGGTCCAAATGGAAAAATGGAGCTGGCAGGCGGCCTGTTGGCCATTGAAGCTTAGAGAGCGAATCAATGGTCATAAAGAAGCCATTGGTGAGGTACACTGGCTTGGGCATGCCTATGGAAGTTAGCGTTGCACGGCGCAATTTCATACTTTCATAGACCTACCTGTTGTTCCTGAGCTGTGAATGATGCACGTTGTATTATTTTCAGCATCGGCGTATGACCTGTTATATGGGTAATGATGCAGTCCACGCTCATCATTGAGAACGACCTTGAGAGCGGGAACCTGGAAAATCTCCAAGGCTGTCGAAGAGAGCACCTGGATCTCAAGAGTTCTTACTTGTCGCTCCTCGCTGAAGAAGAGTTTCGTGCAGCTCGTCGCTTTCAGTAGATGGAGATGAGCTTCGTCCGAGTTCCTAGTCGAAGGCAAGAAAGCCTGTGAAAATAGGTTAGCAAGTCTCCATATCAACACCTTGGCGACCTAGTTCTTACCAGGTATCCCGTCTTCTGACAGGCAAGCATGAAGATGAAATAGCGCACATCATTACTCCCCATGTATGCCAATGTCTCGGGGAATTGTGCTGGTCCAATATTCTCTTCAATCCACCAACACATGCCGTTTACAGCCTGTGCCAGGTCGTTCATCGAAAGGCTACGGAAGCCGTAGCTAACTTCCGCACCTTTTGGGATGACTGCGAACACATTGCTAGGATTGTGCTTTGCACGGTCATCCACCGTTGTCGCTAGAAGTCTCTTTTGCTGGGTCATGGTTTAAATAGTTGAATTAAAGGTAAATAAGTCGGATAAACAATGCAGTGGAAAATAAGATGGTGTTCCGATGGACTATCCACGGTGGAAATATCCATTTATATAGTTCTGAGAAGAATAACTTGATCCAATATTCAGACCAAACTATCTACCATTGGAAATATCCCCTTGAACAGCCGATTTGCCGCTCACCATGGTTGTCTCCAGTACGTGTGTTGCATACGTAGATCATTTCTCAACATAGGCCCACAGTACCCGTTATCCATGGTCCGAGCATCCCTATGCTTGATTCTGCCTTCACAAGAACCCCTCCCGGCATATTGGTGCCGAGCGTTTTTTTTTGACAGGGGTTAGAAGCTTGTCTTTTTGTGTACGGCGTGACGTTCATTATCCATGGAGGATATGCATGCTTCATTTGGAGCCTAGCAGGCACATACTGTACATAACTGTCAAAGAATGATAGCATATCAAATAATATGGGGGGGAAATTCGAGAGTCATATTACGCTGCTTTCTTGAATTGCTGAAGTATGGATCTAGTGGCGTTGCACTAGTAAAGCCATTATTTTTGCAAGATTTGTCTAGTAAAGTAGTGTATGTGGATAGCGTAGAGACTCTATTCTTGAATTATTGTGTCCGAGAACTAATTCGGACTAACGGATTGCTGTCTCGGAGTTACTGCTTTGGTATGTTCTGCTTATGTTTAGCCTAAAACGACACCGCCAGGCTATATTGTATTATACATGCCACATGCTCTCTATGAATTCTCATATAATTAGGGAATTGATACTACCACCCCCCTTTGGATGCTACCAAAACCTTCCCCCCCCCCTTCCCTTGCCTGGATTCTCAGGCCAGTATTGACCGTCTTCCTCACCGCTTTCATCCTCGGACTTTCATTTCTTAGCTACCACTTCCCTATGTGTATATCAACACCTTAGGTACCTGCAATTGGTATGTATACGCCTAGCAAAAATAAGTCACTTCTGTAATATACTTCTGTAATATAGTAGTACTCTATTAGACTGCCAAAATAACTGTTGTTTACACCTTCAAATCTCGCATTTCATTTTCTTTTACAATACTATCTTAGGAAGGTGACCGTGGCCGTGGACGCGGCCGAGGACGTGGAAGAGGACGTGGAGGACGCAACAGGCATCGCAGGGAGATAACAGGGTGGGAATAGCTTCATCTACGGCCTAGGAAGCGCATACGGCATCGCGGCGAGCATTCCTCCTACATCTTAGGGGTCGGGAATAGCTTCTTGGGCATCTTAGGGCGAGGATTCTTGGTCTGATCGCTTCAGGGCGCGTCGGGGAGCTCCATAAATGGCTGATCCAAGGCAAATTACTCAATTTCTTCACTATTCTATCTCTGAGAATTTTAACGAAAAATGGGTGCTGGCCGCTGGATAGGTCAATTCCTTCATTTCTGCAGAGTTTCTGAAAATATCGTCTATTTCCTATTTAGGACCAGTGCCATGTAGTTGGCATGGTAGGTGGTAGAGTACGAAGGGACTTCATTTAATTAGGGGGCTACATAGTAAAATGTAAGTACCTCAAGTTTGTGTTAGAAGCATGGTCGGTGGTGGCAGAAATATGTCCGGCAGAAAAAGTCTTGGCCTCAGAATCCAGGCAGGGTGTTGGTAACTAGTAACAATCCCCTATAATTATTATTGAGGCATTACCTCAACTCGCACTTGTTCAGGTTGGTTTTAATGGTATCGTGCTATAATGTGAATTTCTGCAGCCTACGTACTATTGTGGGTAACTGTTAAGTCTAAAGCCCACCATGTAGCTAGGGCAAACCAGGCAACGCATGGCGACTAAGTAACCCCAACCCCATGACCTCTCACCCAATCATCCGCAATTAAACCTTACCCTGCTCGCAATTCCCTCCCCTCACTACACCGCCCTCGCTACACCGCCCTCGCCGCCGATATGTCTTCCGGATACAACGTTATTCACTTCGCTCACGCAGAGAATGTTCGAATCAGGATCCCTGAAGATGGCATGGCTGTTCCAATGAACTACTACTTTGGTAGCATTGGTTGCCTTATGCTTGACACCAATATTAACCCTGGATCGATTAATATTTTCGCTGGAAACATCAGAATAATCCACAACTGGGCCGAAACTGGCATAGGTGCGATCACGGTCTCGGCTGAAAACATTGAAATAGTCTTTCACTACTACCACACTGGGTCTCAAGCTGTCAGTATTGATGCCGCCAACATTGACATGATCTACAATCGTTCGTGAGGGCTACACCCAGAGCTGGAGAGCGGCCTACGCACCTTTAAAGATGTTAGGTCCACAGCCTCGCTTTTCCTGCATGAAACCTGCAGGTACGTCTATATCTCCCGCATATATAGGTAGTTGTTACTAACCTTGGGACGAGTTACACCTCTAGATCAGTTGCACGGATACGACTGAAGTGCCGGGTCTTCTTGCCCGATTTGTTGATTCACACAAGGCCCTGGAGAGAATTGTCGAGCCAACCATGGAAAGGAACACACTGTACGAGCTGAATACCCTGTGATGTCGTGTCTCGTGCCTTTTCTTGGCTTCCGCTGGATTGAAGATACGTGGACGAGAATGGATAGTGATACTGAATCATTGTGATTCCAATCACTGAAGATAATTTCTGAGCTCTCGACAACCAAATTGAAGCCTCAAAGGCCCTTAAGTACGCCCGGAGATCATATGAATAGCGTAGATTCCATGATTTACCCAGCCCATCCACTCTAGCAAGTTGATGTGAATAGCTTCACTTGTTGACAAAAGGATCTGCTTTATCTCTACAACACTCCTAATCCTGTCCAATCGGGATCACTGGAAATCGCCTCATATCTATTTATTTTGACGTAGTGTAACCATCTCCTATTCACGTGACCTATACTATCTATCGGGAGTTTCCGTCATCGGACTCCAACCTCCTGCAAGGCTCCACGAACCTGCTTCCTTTGATTTTCTGGAGTTGATGCTGTAAAATTGCAGCTGCCACTGAACTGATCACCCTTAGATTGACACCTATTCGTCTTGTTGACTCTCAATGAAGTTCTCTTCATACCTTGCAGCCGCGGCTGCTATCACAGGCGTGAAGGCTTCTCCGCACCCCGCACCTGCGCAACAGGAACCCCTAGGAGCACCATCCACGCCGTCACAGCCAATCTACAGCCAGACCGGCGCAGAAGATATAATCAAAAACTCACCTCTACTATCATTCCACCGAGACTTGGTCGAGATTGAGTCAATCTCTGGCAACGAGCACGATGTGGGCCTCTTCGTCGCAAAGTTCCTAGAGGCCCGGAACTTCACTGTCGTGAAGCAGGAGGTGCCTCCGCTGAAGGGCCATGAAAGCCCAAAGACAAGATACAACATCTACGCCTATCCTGACTCGCATTCGGAGCCTCCCGCCATCCTTCTCACGAGTCATATCGATACTGTCCCGCCTTTCATCCCCTACTCGGTACATCGCCCTCAATCCGATGAATCCGGCAGCTTTGACTCTGAAAATCTCGTCCTGGCTGGCCGCGGTACCGTTGATGCTAAGGGCAGCGTTGCAGCGCAGATATTCGCTACGCTTGAAACGCTGAACGAACAACCCAACGCAAAGCTGGGCCTTCTCTTCGTCGTCGGCGAGGAAGTCGGCGGTGATGGAATGAAGGTCTTCTCCGACTCGGAATACAACAGAGACAGCGCCTACCACACCCTTGTCTTTGGTGAACCCACCGAAGCAGCCCTGGTCTCCGGCCACAAGGGCATGCTCGGCTTCGAGGTCTTCGCTCACGGCTCCGCCGCGCACTCCGGCTACCCATGGCTTGGCCGCAGTGCCGTCTCAGCAATCCTACCCGCGCTGTCTCGCGTCGATCAGCTAGGAAGCATCCCTACAAAGGAGGGCGGTCTTCCATCTTCCCCAAAGTACGGAAACACGACGCTGAACGTTGGTGTTGTCCGCGCTGGTGTTGCGACTAACGTCGTTCCCGCTGAGGCCTACGCTGATGTCTCCGTCCGTCTTGCTGCTGGTACACCCGACGAAGCCCGTGAGATTATCAAGCGCGCTGTTGAAGATGCCTCCCATGATGTGGATGCGGAGGTTGTTGTGGACTTCGGCTCGCATGGCGAGTCTTATGAGCCTCAGGATCTTGATGTGGACGTTGAGGGCTTTGATGTCACTACCGTAAACTATGGTACCGATGTTCCGAATCTGTCTGTTCGGTCTGGCGTTAAGCGCTACCTTTATGGCCCTGGCAGTATCTTCGTTGCTCATGGTGACCATGAGGCCCTGAGCGTGCGCCAAATTAAGGACGCCGTTGGTGGATTCAAGAAGCTGATCCAGGCTGCTTTGGATAGAGAGGAGCAAGGCCTTGCCATATAATTGGTCATTTGCTTTTGCATAGCTTGGATACGACAGCCGGGGAAGCATTATTTCGGGTGATTACTTTATTTTAGCTACTTCGCATATATTGCCCTGAGACCCTGATCAATTTCCTACAAAAGCGAACTTGGAAAGCAAGGCTCTAGTATCAAAAGCTCAAGCCACCAATCTTATATATTGCGCTTTGAAAGTAAAGTTGGTCATGTACAAAAGTTGGTATACATAATCTGGTTCTCCAGATCCCAAACAAGGCATAGAAACAAAGTGCTGTACAAACATATAACGGACATAAAAGACATGTCTCGTCAAAAACATCTCAAATCTACTGCCTCGGCTTCCTCTCCCACCCCGTCTTGAGATCGCCACTAGGCTTAAAACGCGGGAACGGATGAGCCTCGGTATTGAAGACATGGTCCTCAAGCGAGATAAAATCACGGTCCGAGAACAGAAGGTAGAAGTACTTAAGTGTCTCTGCCATCCAGAAGCTCTCCATATTATCACGCCTGTAGGGTGGGATGGCATCCGCATTGCCGAGCGAGGTAAAGCCCTTAATGCGGAAAATGGGTTCTTTGTTGGTTGGGGTTGGAATGCGAGAGACGCTCTTTTTCTCTACCACGGCTGTGTGCTTGACGAAAGACTTGAAAATCTCCCAGCCCCACTGGCGGTACATGTCGTCGCCGGTGATGCGGTACATGTAGAAAAGGGACTCGATCGTTTCCGGGCGTTGTAGGTTGTGGCGGTCGTTTCGGTGAATTTCGATGTCTTCGCGCCATGACTCCGAGCCATCGTTTTGCGTCTCCAGGGACTTAGAAATGCCTTTCAGTGCTTCGGGCTTTGATCCTTGTTTCGGGTTTGTGGCCAAGGCTGGGTACTTGTCTCCCATCATTACAGGTTCGGAGTCTAGCGTGAAGTAAGAGATCTCGGAGGCGAGTCCTGTTGCTGTTCTTTTGTGCATTGCCCAGCAGGTCTTCATCAACTCGCGTGACATGAGGATCTCCTCTTCGCGTTGTTGAGACCAGTCCGAGGACTTTCTTGCCTCGGATAGTGACCGACCTCCTGTAGCGCCAAGCGCAATTGTTCCCGGCATGAAGCAGACCAAGTGGTCCATTCGGGGTAGGAGTTCCTTCTCCAAGCCCTGAGGCCGTTCGCCGATGACCATGAGTTGTGCATTCTTGGTGAATGTGACCAGATGCTTGCGGATGCCTTTTAGGGCCTCATCCCACATCTCTTTGTAGATAGGTTCCTGTTGTGAGGTCTGCAGGTATTGCTTGATGAGGTATTCTGGAGGGGTCAGCTTAAATCCAGCCGTCTCCAAACATTTTAAACATACCATAGTACGAGTCCGCTTTACTACCGAGACTAATACTGTCTCCCTTGAACGACCCACTATCCGGGTGAATAGTACTTCGAACAAGGCCATCCTGGGGTAGTTGATAGTCAACCAACTTCATGACATTCTCCACTATCTTCCAATACTCTGCCTCCCCAGTCAACTTGGCCAGATACTTGAATTCAAGCTGCACTGATCCAGCCTCAGAGATAGATGTGGCTCCTTCATCAAAGTGAACCGGGACACCCGCTGATGTGTTAAGGTTGACATTCGACCATGGGATGCCACTCGGAGACTCAAAAGCCCCGAGCAGTCTGTCGGCAAGGTCGGCAGCCTTTTCAATGTACAGGTCTTCACCCGCAGCACCGACATCGTCGTCGTTCAGCGGTGCCAAATCGGGAAATTGGGTTGAGAGATAGTGCGCGGACAGCAAACCGCCCAGCATGCGAATACTCGTCTCGAACGTGTTCACATCCCGATCTTGGTCATACCGCAGCGACGTCGAGATCCATTGTCTGGCTCGGTGAACCTTGGAGGTCAGGTTCATGATCATCAGGGTGTCCAACGAGTCGACAATCATCCAGCCTAACCCGCCACTAGTAACTTCCTGGTTGACATTTGACACGGGACGATACTGGTCGTAGCCTATGCAAAATATCAGCTCTGCATCCAACACATAAAGCCACATCGCAACTTACCCCATGCGTTCTTCTCATAACCCTCCCAACTAACAATGAAAGCGTCCCGCACTTTCTCTCGCCTCTCAGCCCAGTCAGATGTATCCGAAGAAGCCTTCTCATCTTCCAAAGTCTGAGCCCACCTCCAAAGTTCCACCCCCTTATCGTTTGATCGGGACCCTGTCCATGACGGGAGATAGAAGTTATAGTATAGCAAAAATACCAGACTGCACACTCCTAGAAGGGCAAAGAACGGCCTCCATCGTCTCCGGGGACCTGTGCGCCGTGGTTGGAAGTAGGGCTTGTCTTTGTATAACGGTAGCGTGCGGTCTTTTTCGAAATAGCCGTTCACTTTGTTGGATAGGGGGATCGGTTGGTTGGACAGCCCGTAGCCACGAAGGCCGTTGCGGGAGTTCTGATAGAAGCTGTCTTGTTGCGCTGGCGCGAACGGACTGCGCGATGGTTGGTATGCCATTGTTCCTTCTGGGAAAGCTTCTGGCTTCGCGAATGTCTGCCGGGGTTGCTATTATCGATCGCGACACATAGGGGTGGAATAACGGTTCGGTGTTACTGAGATCCCGCTTTGGTTGAAATCGAGGAGGTAGGTTTTGGTATTTCAGGTAGGAGTTCTAGTTAGCTGTTCAACAGCAGTCAGTCAGTTTGATTTCTTCCAGAAGGAACCCCTCGTCGTAGAATGTGACATACCGATGTGCCTATTCATTCACAAATACCGTTCTTGTGTCGTAGTCTTGGTCGGAATGCTCATCTAGACACTATTCCACAAGGCAAATGTGGCCCTGATCCAGATGCGTATGGTGGGTAGTCCGTAAACAATTTCTCTGCGGAGATGCGGAGGCGCGGAGACTGTTCCGCGTGTTTCTCAGTTGCCAAGTCCAAGATTTGAAGCCAAGTATCCAGGGGCAACTTCGATGTTAGTTTCAACTGGAATTCGCGCGCCTAACGAAGACGATTGAGAACGTGGCAAGGTTGAAGGAAGCTGGGGAAGTGGAGAGCCAACATCAGGAGTCCGCAAATCATCTCTTTGCACGCGTAACCAGTTCCAGAAGTAATGGAGGCATATGATAATTTGTACAATGAAGATTCCACCCCAATACAGGAATTATATTCTAATTTGGACCCTACTGAGCAAAACTTGCGATCTACGCAACAAGTTGGAGCAGCAAGATAGTTAAATGCATAGTATTAGCGCTTCATGAGAAAGATCTAAACCATGCACTAAGGCCACTAGCCCAAGATAGTTACAATTACAGCTTCTGGTACTCAAGCTTGCCCTCCAGCTTCTTCGCCTCTGCGACCTTCCGTACAGCCTTGTTGAAGTCATCCTGGTTGATGGCGTCGCGGTAATCCTTGATCGCGAACAAACCCCTATAATATGTTAGTTCGCCATTCATAGTATTCTTTGTGGCTAGGGGACCGTATTGCACTTACGCTTCGGTAACAACATTTCGAAGATCAGCACCGTTAAGACCGTCACTCATCTTGACCACACTCTCAAAGTCGATATCACCCTCCTGCTGAACCGTGCTCGTGTGGATCTTCAAGATCTCCAGACGGCCGACCTCATTAGGAAGAGGAATCTCAATCTTTCGGTCCAGACGACCAGCACGCAACAGAGCGGGGTCCAGTGTGTCGGGTCGGTTGGTTGCCATGATGATCTTCGTCTTTCCTAGGTAGTCGAAACCATCCAGCTGGTTCAGCAACTCCATCAGCGTCCGCTGAATTTCTCGATCTGCTGAGGTACCCTCCGAAAATCTTCGTCCACCAATGGCGTCAATCTCGTCCATGAAGATGATACAGGGTTCGTGTTCCTTGGCGTATCCGAACATTTCTCGGATCAGTCGAGCGGATTCACCGATATACTTATCAACGATAGCCGATGAGACCACTGGACATGATCAGTGATTTGCAAACAGAAAATTATAGGTCCAAACATACCCTTCAAGAAGTTGGTTTCGATCGAGCTGGCCACTGCTCGTGCAAGCAGCGTCTTACCAGTACCCGGAGGACCATAGAGCAAGACACCCTTTGGAGGCTTGATACCAACTCTTTGGAAGAGCTCTGGGTTCTTCAAGGGCAGTTCAATGACCTCTCGAAGCTCTCTGATCTGGTCGTTGAGACCACCAATACCGGCAAAGTTGACTGACCCGGGATCCTCCAGAGACATGTTGTACACCAAAGGATCAACCTCACGAGGTAACATCCGCATGATGGTGAGTGTTGTCATATCCAAGGCCACACGTGTGCCTTGCTTCATCTTGGCCTTATCCACCTTTGACCGACAACCGACGACATATCGAGGCCCGGACGACGCCTTGACGATGACTATAGATTGGTCAGTCGCCCGAAACAAGCCCAAGATGAATAAGAATGGGGATGATACTCACATCGCTCTTCATCAAGCTGCTTCAACACCTCGCCGATGATCTGACCCACACTTTGTAGCGCCTTGATGTTCTCCTCGGAGATATCAAACTCCCGCTGGAGATCCTTGATGCCCAATCGGAGAGTTTTGAGCTTAGTTTCCCACTCTCGTAGCTCGAGCAAGCTCTTTTTATAGTCCTCGAGCGACTGGTCGCGCTCCGGGTCGCTCATGATGAAGGACGGTCGAACGACGGGTTCACCGAGTGTAAAGGGATAGATAGACAAGCCGAGTCGAGAGTGCAATCTAAAGAGGCAGGGTTCTGGAGGATCGTGGATGCAGAATGGATGGATCTGAATGAAAGGTAGCACCTTGCCCGGGGAGCTTCCAGCGCAGCGCAGCGATGAGCCAAACAGGGTCACCTGACTTTATTATGTCATGTTCTTGGCATTTACAGACACCTGAGGCGATAAGGCCAGGTATCGAAGGCATTAAGGCACCCACATTGGAAGCAATAGATTACATAATACTTAGCTCATCGAAACCCGATGTGAACACCTCAAAAGTCAGGCCGCAATGAAGCTGTCTTCGTCAAATCCGAAAAATGGCAATGCTACGTAGGTGAACAAGTCAAGTTGCTTCGATTGGTCAAATATCATAATCAAAGGTACAGTAGTATTAGTGCAGTCTCATACAGTGGGCAACCTCCAGCTTCTACCAGGCTGAAGCACGGCCCAGGAGGGGCATGGAGGGGTGAATACACAAGCCTCCAGAGCACAGTACGTTAGCTTTCTCAAGGTTATCATATGCTCGGAAGAAGACTATGCCATCATAGCTCTTCCGTTTCTCGGAAGATCTCGTAGCTGAGAGTGCCGCATACGGTCGGATCAGCCAGCAAGAGCTGGAGAACAGCCGTGGAGCCCCACTGTCGCATTGGAAAGAATCGGAGGAGCAATGATCTTTTCCGGGGTTAATGGGGAATATATAAAAGACTCGGGTCCCTCCGTATAAATAATCTTCTTTTAGTTGAAGTTGTTTACTCTTTATACAGGTAAGTTGTGAACTATCATAAGTTGCAAGTTATATACCCCGCCATCACCCCTCCTCTCCCCTATACCTTCACCTCTACATTCCTCCAATCTTCTGGAAAGCCAAAGAATACCCAAAACTCCCCCGGTGATCGTAAGTAGGCAAACCGACATTGCCCCATCAACAAGTGGTTGAGCTCGCAAATCACGTCCTTCTCCATCCCGCCCAATCTGTTTCGGTCATCGGTGAACACCCCCCGCCGTTAGTCACACTGCTTTGCCATATATCTGCCCGGTTCCTGTTTCATTTTTCCTTTCTTTCAACTGACTGAATATCAGCCTGTCCTTCAAAATGCCTATCTCTAAGATCCACGCTCGCTCCGTGTACGACTCTCGCGGTAACCCCACCGTTGAGGTTGACGTTGTCACCGAGACTGGCCTCCACCGCGCCATTGTGCCCTCCGGTGCTTCCACTGGTATGTCCATCCTGAACTTTGGAAACGAGCATTGGAAATAGGACTGGAAAGCTAACACCTCTTTCCAGGTCAGCACGAGGCCGTTGAGCTCCGTGACGGTGACAAGGCCAAGTGGGGTGGTAAGGGTAAGTAAACCATCAGCTTTCAACTACATCCCGGGATTAGCCCTAACAAGTTCACTCTGAAGGTGTCCTCAAGGCCGTCAAGAACGTCAACGAGACCATTGGCCCCGCCATCATCAAGGAGAACATCGATGTCAAGGAACAGGCCAAGGTTGACGAGTTCCTGAACAAGCTCGATGGAACCGCCAACAAGGGTAACCTTGGTGCCAACGCCATTCTCGGTGTCTCCCTGGCCATCGCCAAGGCTGCCGCCGCTGAGAAGGGTGTTCCTCTCTACGCTCACATCTCCGACCTTGCCGGCACCAAGAAGCCCTACGTCCTCCCCGTCCCCTTCCAGAACGTCCTCAACGGTGGTTCCCACGCCGGTGGCCGTCTGGCCTTCCAGGAGTTCATGATCGTGCCCGAGTATGTTTCCCCGTACCGTACACCTTTGTGATCCCATGACTGACGAATGCAGCACTGCTCCTTCCTTCTCCGAGGCTCTCCGCCAGGGTGCTGAGGTCTACCAGAAGCTCAAGGCTCTCGCCAAGAAGAAGTACGGCCAGTCCGCCGGTAACGTCGGTGACGAGGGTGGTGTCGCTCCCGATATTCAGACCGCTGAGGAGGCTCTTGACCTCATCACCGAGTCCATTGAGCAGGCCGGCTACACTGGCCAGATTAAGATCGCCATGGACGTTGCCTCCAGCGAGTTCTACAAGACCGATGCCAAGAAGTACGATCTTGACTTCAAGAACCCCGACAGCGACCCCACCAAGTGGCTCACCTACGAGCAGCTTGCCGACCTCTACAAGTCCCTTGCTACCAAGTACCCCATTGTCAGCATTGAGGATCCCTTCGCCGAGGATGACTGGGAGGCCTGGAGCTACTTCTACAAGACCTCTGACTTCCAGATTGTTGGTGATGACCTGACTGTCACCAACCCCCTGCGCATCAAGAAGGCCATTGAGCTCAAGTCTTGCAACGCCCTCCTCCTCAAGGTCAACCAGATTGGTACCCTGACCGAGTCTATCCAGGCCGCCAAGGACTCCTACGCCGACGGCTGGGGTGTCATGGTCTCTCACCGTTCCGGTGAGACCGAGGATGTCACCATTGCTGACATCGCTGTTGGTCTCCGCTCCGGCCAGATCAAGACCGGTGCCCCTGCCCGTTCCGAGCGCCTGGCCAAGCTTAACCAGATTCTCCGTATCGAGGAGGAGCTTGGTTCCAACGCTGTCTACGCTGGCGAGAAGTTCCGCACTGCTGTTAACCTGTAAATGCGGTCTTTCAGCGTAGATCGGGCTTAGGCTCAAAACGATGGTTTGATGATTATGTCACAACCCATGATGATTATGATTTAATTAAGAATTTAAACGAAAATAAATTTCCATTTCAAAATCAAAATCAGACAAACAAATTGTATAGTAAAAGAAGTATACGATCGGCCCATCAGGCATCAAAGGCCCCGAGAGATCACGTGCACATACCACCTGGGGACGATAAGTGTGTCCCACATAAAATTTGCCCTCGCCCCTCCATCCTCTGCTGGGTCCGTTTGGCTTGTTACTTGGTCTTGCGTATAGCGCATTGCTTACTTTCGTTTTTCTCTGTCTTATCAGATTCAGACGCTTTTTCTATAGCCTAAAATGCCACCTTCCAAGTGGGGTATGTTCTTATCCTTCAGTAGCATCCCCCGCCACCGAGCCCTTGCTAATTTCCTGCAGATGAAGAGGAGAGCGACTCGCCTCCTCCCGTCGTTGCCCCGCGCCGCAGATTCGACGACGAAGAAGAGGAAGATGTAAGACAGCCTCGTAAAACCGTTTACCAAGGCGACATTCCCTTCGCGACAGGCACTAACACAACTCTGATTAGGTCCTCGACTCATGGGATGCCGGTGAAGACTCCGAGGTAGAGCGCGAGAAGGCCAAGAAGGCCGAAGAAGCCGCGGCCAAGGCCAAGGCCGCCGCCGCAGCAAACAAGAAGACCAAGGCCCAGCGGATAGAGGAACACCGGGAGCAGCGACGACAGGAGGCCGGCTCCAACGATGAGTCTGGCAGCGAGGATGAGGCGGACCGCCGCGCTCGTCTGCGCAGGACCGAGCAGGATGCCGATCTCGCCCACGCCGAGGATCTCTTCGGCTCCGTCGACACCAAGCGCAACAAGGGTGCCCCCAAGGCCATCGTCATCAGCGACCAGACCGACCCTACCAAGTCCATCGACCTGTCCTCCATGCCCCTGTTCAAGCCCACCACCAAGGACCAGTTCACTCGTCTGAGCGAAGCCCTCATTCCCCTCCTGACTCCTCACTCGAAGAACCCCCAGTACACCCTCTGGGCGCAGGACTTCACTCGCAAGCTTGTCAAGGAGTTGCCCAGCGCTGAGATCAAGAAGATTGCCAGTGCTCTGACCACCGCTAGCAACGAGAAGATGCGCGAGGAGCGCGCTGCCGACAAGGGCAACAAGAAGACCAAGGCTGCTAAGACTAAGATCTCGCTGAATGCTAGCCGTGGCCCTGTCGACAACACAAACTACGATGGTGATGACGGTCTCGCCGAAGATGACTTTATGTGATTATGGACTAGTCTCCGAATTGTTTCGCGCTTGCTTTCTGTTGGATTTGTTCGAAAATACGCATAAAGGGGTATATCTCTTTTCTCATTGCCCCGGCACTCAAAAGGTTGACCTTGCTTTTCATCCTAAACCTCACCATGTACACCCCCCAGACCCTACAATCTACAACATTCAACCCATAGAAGATTGAAATTTATCATCCAATTATTACATGACTCTGTATACAAGTCCATTGACCCAATCCGCATCCCGATCACTCAACCATTCCTACTTTGCAAATGCACGACTCCTAACAAGAGTCCTAATACACTGACTCTTATTCATCATACCAATCTGCTTAGCCTCCTGCTCAATCTCCCGAATTCCAATGCGCAGAGACACATACCCCTCATCATCAAGGGCAAACAGCGCCTCCAGCACCCAAACTACACAATTCAAGGTCTCCCGATATCGTGCCGAGTAAAGCGTCAAGGGTACAATCGCCAGTCTATCTGCCAGCGCAGCATGTAGAACTGGCGACACAGTCCCGATTTGGAGGGCTAGTATCAGTCGACCGAGAGTTGGGATTTCGTTTGTTGGCTCGCTTTTGTATTCCCAGGCTGTGGGACCGCCTTCGTTGATTATGTGAAAGATTGTGCCAGTTGTGGCTGTTTGGGCGAGATATAGTTCCCAGTGAAAGAGATATGTGTTTCCTCGATCAAGGAGGAGGATGTAGAGTGTGTTTGGTTCAAGTTTGAGGGGTTGTGGGAATGTCATTGTGGGATGTTTGGACCGCGGGTTGCTAAATGCTTTTGAATCTTGAATTTTTGTCTTGTGGAGAGATGAAGAAGAATGATTTGAGAGAACTACACTCTGGTTTATACACTTTTAGTTCCTCGTTTGCAGAAATAGTTACAGGTGTACTAACTTAGTACCTGTCGCCCCCTCATACCACATACTACACCGGGTCCACGTTCGACATAATCCGACAGCATGGCTTTTGGGTATACTATTAGCGATCAGACGAACCAGTCTTACAGGGAGCTTGCCAGGTGGAATCAAAACCCCGAATACAACTGGG